AAATTAAGTTTAGTCAATAAAAATATCATTCGGGATATATAGACTCTATGGGACAACTTAAGGGTTAAAGAAAACTGCGACGGAAATAATGCACTGCAGTAAAAGCACATCTACCGAAGTCTTGTTCATCTATGTTGCATACGGGCCGTTTGGATGTCATCCACGCCTCACGGAATATCTGCAACGGACCCCGGATTATCCTCAAATAAGATCAAACAGTACCAGTATCCTATTTCTAATGTGCCTAGCAGGAAGGAGAATGAAGTCTTCACGTTCCCTGAGCAACGTTAGGCATGATTTTCATTGCGTTAGCAACAAAATATGTCGCCTAAAAAAGCTGAATTTTATTCATTAGATCATTACGCATCGATATCTGTCATGTATAAAAAACGCATTCGTAACATTTCCACTTCTACGAATATCTACCATCATACCATTTTGAATGGGGCTTCCTCTGTTAACTAAAACATTGCATTACTGAATTAAGTTTGACAACGGTTCTGAATTACTTCTGCATATAACATTAATTACAAACATCATTTATGGTTACTTGCAAGAATGTCAAAATTTCCGCAAACAAAGTACTGTACACAAAGGTTGTTGAAGCGTAAGTACTTTACTACCTGCGCATTATACGTTGCTGTACCCAAGTTTCACTCCGAGCACGTTTACGTACCTTTGGAACTTTCATCGCGTATTTCTGTCTAAGGATTGCAAGCACTGATTATTAAGAAATCATACAGAAAAAACGAGTGTAGAAAGTATTAACTGCACAAAGTGACCGTCTGTTCGTTGCGGAGCATTGCTGCTCACTCACTAGAGCGTCCAATTAGAACAGAGGTCTTGGTTTAGAGCCTCGACCCAGTCACTTATTTTCTTCCTTCCGAGATTTATATTGACTTCCATTATGCTCACCATATAGCTGTTTTCGATTCAATGTTTAAAATACGGCATTCTTGGACTGTAACATGATTAACGATGTTCATCGCTCAAACATGAAATTTCCGGAAAAAGGGGGATGGAGGGGCAGAAATTACCCCATCATGAAAGTGTAAGAAAATGACATTTAAGCAATTTTCCATTGTACGCTCTGTAATTTCCACAGCGCCGTGACTCTGCACGGCTGAGTTGCAACTCAGTCAGTTGCTATCTGCTTCTTTGATGGTTCCACCTAGGAGCAGTAGAGTAGACTCATCACTCAAGACAATTAGCTCTTTAAGTAGGTCAATTATATTGCGTACATGGAAGCCGAACTTTGCCTCTGATATTCAAGAGTAATTCTGCAACCCATTGTGGTACTTCCCTAGACTTACAGTACACCATAATATTTGAGACGCTGGTCATCATAAAGAGCAGAACTAAACAAAAACGAGGCTGTATCATTTGTTGTTCAGTGTTTTCTACGAATTTTCTGTCTTCAAGAACAGTTGGTGCAAGTTTCACATTTCTATGTTTAGGCTGAAAGCAAGGTCACAGGTTCTAATAATGCGTAAGCGCATTTCGTTCATGATGTTTTTGAAAATGGCAGAATAAGCACATGAGATATAATACGAATTCCTATTTGAATAAACGAATTACCGGTGAATTTTTACGATACCTTTCTCTCCACCGGCGAATCAGCGAATGGAATCTTCTGATTCGCCTTCGTTTCCGTGGCGAACCGTATCGTCATTAATGTGTCAATCAATCGTCAAATTCGAGAATTTTTCTAGGTGTTTCATCTCGTTCTTCTTCCACAGAGATGACATGACGATGTACTGCACAACTTTATTATTAAAAGGGCTAGAATTTAATGGAGAATTCTTAGACGGCTTTTATCCCAGAAAATGATCCGCTAATGCAACGCTTAATGGAATATTAAAAGTAAGTATTATGTCCAGTGGTAAGCGTTGTTCGCAATTTTAATTTCGTGCCATTCATCATCAGACGAAAGAGGCATTAGTTATTTTATGCTGTAATTTTTAAACACTCTGTTCAATCCACTTTTCCCGTCATTCTGAATATTAAGAAGACTTCAGCTATCT